AAATACACAACATACAAATTATATTTGCCACCTAGGAATGATGTGAGGATTCAATAAATTAATATCTGTGAAGTCAGACAGCACAGTGATGGCTCCACAGTGTGTTTGTTGGCGTGTATGTTTTCAACTCACCCAGTCCGAAAATTCCCGAAGGAAATCTAACTCTCATGAAATATTTTTAGTTGTAGCAAAAGCTTAAATGGTGCACTTTTCTGACACAGTATCTGGATAGTGTAGTCAGAAATTAACCTGAGTTGAATTGAGTCTTCAAAGATGCATCTCGGTTTGAGGCTCTGATACATTTCATGAATACTTTATGGAGTTTTCCATACAGGGTACAAAAGTTTTTTTTCCTAAGAAAACTTTTATATGACATATTTTGTTCCTTTTATTTTTTAAATGTTTATTTATTTTGAGAGAGAGTGCAGGAGAGAGTTGGGGGAGGGGCAGAGAGAGAGAGAGAGAGAGAGAGAAGCAGAATCCCAAGCAGGCTCTGGACTGTCAGCACAGAGCCTGATGTAGGGCTCAATCTCATCAACTGTGAGACTATGACCTAAGCTGAAATCAAGAGTTGGATGCTCAACCAACTGAGCCACCCAGGGGCCCCCAATATATTTTAAAAGAGATTATCAAATAGAATGATTTAAAAACAAAAGAAAGAAACAAACATAAAAAAAATTCTGAATAAAGCATCACAAATTTAGCCAAATCATTAACTGTTTCTCAAAAGACCACTGGAACTTTTTTCTGATAGAAACCAAGATGAGAATACAGTAAGGGAAGGGCGCCTAGGTGGCTCAGTTGGTTGAGCAGGTGAGCATCAGACTTCGGGTCAGCTCATGATCTCTTGGTCTGTGAGTTCAAGCCCCGCATTGGGCTCTGTGCTGACAGCTCAGAGCCTGGAGCCTGCTTCGGATTCTGTGTCTCCCTCTCTCTCTGCCCCTACCCGCCCCCTCAAAAATAAATAAACATTCAAAAAAATACAATAGGGGATAAAATCAAAAGCCAGAGAGGAAATCAGAGGCCATTTAGTTATAATCCTTCATTTTTAAGATGAGAAACTTGAGGGCCCAAAAGACTGCAGGCTGCCAAAGCCCCAGAGATGGCAGGTAGAACCGGGGATCTCACCACCGGCCCCCAGGCTGTCGACATCTTCTCCAGAGCTCTTTTCTCAACTTGCTCTATGGTTCCGGAATCCAGCTCCATATCATGTATTTCTTCTTTTTTTCAATGTCAATGAAGTTTATTTGGCTTTTTTGAGTAGTGCTCTTAAAGCATCGCAGCTTGGTAAACAGTATAAATTAGTACGGGCATCTTCATTAGAACAGTCATACGAATTAGTACAGTCATTTGTTTTCTCATGAGTTGCTAAAAAGATGCAGCCTATTTTTTTTTAACGTTTATTTTAATTTTGGGAGGCTGAGAGAGAGAGAGAGAGAGAGAGAATGAACGGGGGAGGGGCAGGGAGAGAGGAATCCCAGAATCCGAAGCAAGCTCCGGGCTCTGAGCTGTCAGCACAGAGCCTGACATGGGGCTTGAACCCACGAGCTGTGAGATCATGACCTGAGCTGAAGTCAGACACTTGACCGACCAAGCCACCCAGGTGCCCCAAGATGCAGCCTATTCTAACAGGATAAATATTTTTACCACTTGGCGTTAATGAAGGCTCACACACGAACAATGTTCTTCGTAAGGAAAATAAGAAGCTGTGGCCGAGACCCCAATGAAAAGAACTGTGTGGAAATGAAGGTTCCCATACTTTTTGAAGCCTTTTTACAATGGGGAGACAATGCACGCGATCTTGTTGCAAACTTGCCATACAGACTTGTAGTGATTTTGCTGACTCATTATCTGTTGTAGGCTGAAATAGGGGTTAGAACGAAAATCATCCCTAATTAAAAACTGGCACTGTTCACAGAAAAAAAAAAAAAGTAGGATTTTGCCTTTGAATCTGCAAGTGTATGTTCAAATCGAATTTGCCTCTCCTCCCCCCAGCTCAGCCGCAAAACGGGCTTGAAGTAACATTCTTTACAAAGCCTTCATTTTCAACTCGATGCAAGCTAAGCAAAGATGATCAAAACCCAAGCTTGCACAACGGACGGGTATCTCCCAGAACATTTCTTAGGCACAAAACACACAAGAGGAAGGGCTACTCGGTGACATTTACATGAACAAAATGGCATCATGTTCATCAACAAATACCCAATGCTGTTTTCTTCTGCTAACAAGAGTTGCAGAGAAAGAGAGAGAGAGAGAGAGAGAGAAAGCATGATTCTGATTTTGATCCCACGTTTCTTATATACTCTTTATATTTTTATAAGCTGCCTGGGAAAATATCCAATCATATGTATATTTCATGAACCTGTTGGGTGCTGGGTGTGCCATCGGTAGGAAAGAAAACCACGAAGCTGGAATCTGCAGCACGTCAGTGGGGTTCAGCACAGTGTCGGGAGGGAGGGGTTGGGGGGGCGGGTGGAGTGCTTTGCCGGGTGCACACACATCCTTATCACTTCTCCACTCTCTGTGGCCCTGCTGACTTCAAAAAGCCCACTGGGCAATTGCAATCACGCCTTCCCAGTGCTCATCGTACTTGGCCATTTGCGGTTTCACTCCCTACACCCTTTGCGTGCCTGCCAGTTCACACCTGTCTCTAGGCCATGACCCCCCCCCACCAACACACACACACACACACACACACACACACACACACACACACACACTTATTTCTCTAGCTTGGACCTTTCTCCCAAACCCCAGACCCGCACACTCCACTGCCTACTTGCCATAGCCACTTGGATGTCTCATGAACATCTTTATATTCAGCTCTTCTAAAATGCGCTTCTGACCTTTCCCTCCGAACCCGCTCCCCTGCTTCCAACCGTGTTGAAGGAATGGCAATCAATCTCAGATCCATCCGGCTGCTTAGCCCGAAGCCTTGGAATTGTTCTTGACTCCTATTTCCCTGACACTCACGACCTCCAATGTGGACATTGTGTCGGCTCTACTTTTAAAACACATCCAGGAGCCAGCCACGGCTGACACCTTCCTACCACCTTCCCAACGAGCTGCCCTTACCCGACCTCTAGAGATGCCTCCCAATTCTCCCTGACCCAATCAGTTGGCTGGGGACACAGCGGCCACCATGTTGCTTTCCTATGCAAGTCTGATCTTGCCGCTTCTCTGCTAGACCTTCACTTCCCTCACAGATAAAGCTCTGGTGTTTACAGTTGGTTAAAATGTCGGGGCGCCTGGCTGGCTCAGTCGGTTAAGCATCCGACTTCAGCTCAGGTCATGATCTCACAGTCTGTGAGTTCGAGCCCCGGGCCAGGCTCTGTGCTGAAAGCTCAGAGCCTGGAACCTGCTTTGGATTCTGTGTCTGCCCCTCCCCTGCTCATGTTCTGTCTCTCTCGGTCTCAAAAATAAATAAAAACATTAAAAATTAAAAAAAAAATGCCCCTGGACATCAGCTTCTGGGCACTCCCTGCTTTTTGCCATCTTCTCTTCCTAATGTCCCCCTTACTCTGTTCCAGGTACCCTAGCCCCCCTCTCTTCCCTGACCCTATGCACATTTCTGACACAGGCTTTCCAAACGGCTGTATATTTCCTCTGCCTGGAAAATGCTCATTCCAGACATCTGCAAGTCAGTCCCTTAGGTCTTCTGAGCTGCTCTCAAACCCCATCACTTAAGGAGCCCCCCCTCCCCACATCCTATTCACTACGGAAGCCTACCGTCCATACACAGGACGCTCCAGATGCTTCTTCCCATTCTACCTTTTCTCTTCTATGTTTCCACAGCCTCATCATCTTCTAGGATATGAGCTATTTATGTGTTATGTCTGTCCTTATTGTCCGTCTGCCTTTAGAATGAGAGCTCTTTGAGAGCAGAGATCTCTGTCTGCCTTATTCCCTGACGAACCTCACAGCCTAAGGCACAGACACATCGCAAAAGCTGAATATGGTTTCTGACTGCGTAAATGAACCCCTTCAGGCTTTCTCTGCTCTTGTTTTCTATGATGCTGTACTCTTATCTCCTCCTCTCACTGACCATTTCTTTTATGTTTTGGTTTTATGCTTCTATTACCCGTAGATTTTCTTTAAGACTCTCCCTTGACCTGTTTTATTTCAGCCATCAGTGTGAGTAAATATCTGTGTCTGATGTTTTCTGAATTACAGCATCCAGGACATTGTGGACACAAAGGGGGATGTGTCACAAAAGATGAAAGAAATACCTTATTTTTAATTTTAATTTTGTTATTTTAGAGAGAGAGAGTAGGGGGAGGGGCACAGGGAGAGAGAGAGAGAGAGAGAGAAAGAGAGAATCCCAAGCAGGCTCTGTGCTGAGCGCGGGGCCTGACTCAGGGCTCGATCCTACAACCCTGGGATCATGACCTGAGCCAAAATCAAGAGTCAGGCACTCAACCGACTGAGCCACCCAGGTGCCCCAGAAGAAATACATTTTTAAATCAAAACTCTACTGGGAAAAATGCTTACTTTTGTGTCGAGGACTTGTAAAATGAGTCCTTCGCGTTATATTTCCTGTTTGGCTGTAAAAGTGATTCTCCATCCTCCTAGAAGGTGTGAATAATAAGTGAAAGGAGATCAGATACACATGGGAATTGCTAATGTTTTCTACAACCATGCTTTCTTTTTTCCTTGTTCTCCATTTTTCTCCTTTCATAGCACCCCTTCCACAGACCAGGCTTAATGCTTCCCTACTTTCTTCAATTGTCTTGGAAACTTACTTTCTATGTATGGTCTCCTAAGTGATTAAGTTAAAATTTACAACATGTGTATTCAAGTTAATGGAAAGTCACATCTTTATGAGAAAGCTCCTGAATTTTAAATGCTGGCAAATGATGTTTTTAGCACCATGTAAATAAAACATCTTAAAAAGTCTAGGGGCGCCTGGGTGGCTCAGTCAGTTAAGCGTCTGACTTCGGCTCTGGTCATGATGTCACGATTCATGAGTTAGAGCGCAAAGCTTGCTTTGGATTCTGTGTCTCCCCCTCTCCCTGTGCCTCCCCCACTTATGCTCTGTCTCTCTCAAAAATAAACGTTTAAAAAAAACTTTTTTAAGTCTTGTGTGACTTGTCTTTTAACAATAGGACATTAGCTCTGTTACACTTCCCCTTTCCTACCTTTCGTCTTATTTCATTGAAATTCGTTGATTATTATAATTATTAATATTAATTTTTAACTATATAATATAATTATATTATATTATATATTTTTATATATTATATAACATAATTATTATATTTTAATAATATATTATATATGTAATTAAATATATAACATATTATTATTATTATATTCTAATTGTCATTAGAATCTTTAAGTATTACTATTCATTTAACTTTTCCACAGTATTTTACCAGTGGTTCTTTGTCTACTTCTGCTTCTGGTACCCAATTTGTTCTTTCCTGGTTCCACTCTCTTTGGCTGGAGTTCAATTTTCAGTAATTCTTTCAAGGATACAAACTTCTAGCTTTGTTTCTTAACTAACTCATCCTCACCTTTTAATACTGTTCCAGGTGAATTTAGAATTCTAGTTTAATGGCTATGATTCTTTGGTAACCTACATACACCTCATTGGCTTCTGGATGGTTATTGTTGCTTTGGAAGTACACGGAGTATAATTGTCTGCAAGTATTCTGTGTCCCCGTCCCCACCCTCTGGCAATATTTAGGATATTCGTCTTGATTTTCCCACGGAGAAAATGTGCTTAGGAGAAGGTATATTTTTTCATCTGGCTAAAGACTCGTTATGTTTCTTTAATCTCAGAATGCATAACTTTCCCCAATTTGGACAAATCTCCATTGTTACCCCTTTATTGCCAATGGATTCTCTTTATTCTCTTCTTAAGAAGTTCCCATCAGGCAAATACTAGACTTTCTCATTCTGTCTGCCATCTTTACCTTCCATGCTACCACTGTCCACTTTCCTGTTCACAACACTTCCTCCTTCCCCTATTTCTAGTCTCTGTTTAAACCTGTTTGTTGTATTTCTTTAAATTTCATTAAAGCTGCATCTAGTGAGGGGCACCTGGGTGGCTCAGTCAGTTAAGCGTCCGACTTCCGCTCAGGTCATGATCTCGCGGTCCGTGGGTTCGAGCCCCGCGTTGGGCTCTGTGCTGACAGCTCAGAGCCTGGAGCCTGTTTCAGATTCTGTGTCTCCCTCTTTCTCTGACCCTCCCCTGTTCATGCTCTCTCTCTCTCTGTCTCAAAAATAAATAAACGTTAAAAAAAATTTTTTTAAAAAGCTACATCTAGTGAAATCATGTAATCGTTCTGTTGCTAGGCTGAATTATATATATATATATATATATATATATATATATATATTTTTTCTTTTTTTTTCATTTAGAATTTTTTTTAATTTTAATATTTTAGTAATTTTGCTGTGGAAAATAAAATTCCATCTTAGAAGAAAGAGAAAACTCCTCAAGACCACTCTCTGGCATCTTTATTTATGTATTACAGTGGGCCAGCCAGTGAAAATCCTGGGCCTTCCATGTGGCTCACGGCTTAGTCATGATATTGATAGAAGAGGGTTTAGTTGTGTCTGCCACGCTCTGGCTCAGTGGACTTTGGAGTTCTTCTGGCGTTTGTACAAGATACTCTTTGCCTCTAAAAAACACAGTTATAACTCGCTTATAATGTGAGTTTGGCAGAAGACAGACTGGAAGGGGCACTGCAGGAGCATCTCCAAATATTAACATTTCGTTCCAAGCGTCCGCGTTGACACTTTGACAAATTCCACTGTGAATCACCACCAAAGGTACGAATGGCAAGTTGTGCCTGCAGATGGTTTCCACTTGGGTGCAGAAGACCCCAATACACTGTCTCCTTCCACACAGAAGACCCACTGCCCTGGGCTCTATCTTGGCCAAAGTAGAGGCTGCAATGGCCAATCCCAAACCTGCTCCCATCGTTCCCAAGGTGCCAGCAGCAAGCCTGTGGCAAGGAAGGGCATTTGGAAGCACAGTGCGTCCAGCGTCCATTATATTTGCTCCTTCGCGTACCACAAAACAGTCTCTGTGTACCTGGTCTTGTGCATAGGAGAAGGCTGTGTAATCACCCACAGGCAGGGATTTGAGAGAAGCTAATTCCTGTGCTATTTTGGCCCATTGGAGGTTATACCCAGCATGGAGGAGGCGGCCCCCTACATTCCTCCACCAGACAAGACGGGCAGATTCCTTCCATCCTACATTAACACATTTCTTGGAAGCATCTTCCCTGCTCTTCATTTTTTTTTTTCCTCCCAGAGTTTTCCACCACTTGCTCTCTGGAAGACACTGCCATGGTGTTTCTATCAAATGGTTCTAAAAGCTGTTTGGTGAACATTGCTGACTCCCGGCAAAGTCACAGCAGGCCTTACCTTATCCCCCAATTCTTCTGTACAGGTATCAACCATGTGATTTTACTCACAGGTGGAATTTAAGAAGCAAAACAAACGAGCAAAGGGGGGAAAAAAGAGGCAAACCAGGAAACAGACTCTTAACTATAGAGAACATACTGATGGTTACCAGTAGGATGAATTATTACTGATTGAGTTTTGAACGTTAAGGAAATACTTTCACTCTTGACATAAACCTCCTTTGATCACAATATACTGACCTTTTTATATATCACTGGCTTTGATATGTTAATACTTGGTAGTAATTTTTGTGTCTCTGTACACGAAGAATATTAGTCTGTAATTTCCTCTTTTTTAATTTTTATAATGTCTTTGTCTGGTTCAGGAATATTAGTTAAGTCAGACCTCTAAAACTAGTTTGAAAGTGTGCCTTCTATTTTCTGAAATAACTTACATTAGACTGATGTGATTTCTTCCTAGGATGTTGGACAAAATTCAGCAACGAAATCATCTGATCCTAGGGTTTTCAGTGTGGGAAGATTTTTGATCAGAAAAATTAAATTCCTTTAATAAATCGGGGGCATTCATTTCATAATCAATCGGGGGTGTTCCATTTTATTTAGTATCAATTTTGGTAAGTTGTATTTGTAAAGAAATTTGTTCATTTAACCTAAGATGCTAAACGAACTGGCAAACTATATAGTTTAGGATATTTTCTTATTTTGCTTTCAGGATCAGTAGTAATAAACTCTTTAATTTCCTATGTTGCTAATATGTGTTCTCTCTCTTTTTCTTGATCGTACTAATAAAATGTCTTTTATTGATCTCTTTCCTTGATCTTTCTAAAGAAACAGCTTTTGGTTTAAAGTTTTCTCTCATGTAGCTTTTCTCTTTTCCATTGATCTCTACTCTTTAATTCTCTTTCTTTTTAAAAAAAAATGTTTAATTTTTTTTTTTTTTTTTTTTTTTTTGAGAGAGAGAGAGAGAGAGCACAAGGTGGGGAGGGGCAGAGAGAGAGGGAGACACAGAATCCGAAGCAGGCTCCAGGCTCCGAGCTGTCAGCACAGAGTCCAACAGGGGGCTCGAATTCACAAACCATGATATCATGACCTGAGCCAAAGTCAGACGTTCAGCTGACTGAAACACCCAGGCTCCCCTCTTTCTTCTTGTTTAACAATTCTTTTGTCTTAATTATTAATTACTAATTTTCAGAACCTCCTTGTTTTCTAATAAGGATAAAAGGCTAATATTGTTCTTTTCAGCAGTGTTTACTGCATCATACAAGATTCAATAGGTTATAGTGTCATCATTGTTCAGTTTAAAACATTTTCTAATTTTTCTTGTGATTTTTTTCTTTGGCCCATGGATAGTTCAGAATTGTGATGTTTAATTTTATTTATTTTTTTTCCAACGTTTATTTATTTTTTTGGGGGACAGAGAGAGACAGAGCATGAACGGGGGAGGGGCAGAGAGAGAGGGAGACACAGAATCGGAAACAGGCTCCAGGCTCTGAGCCATCAGCCCAGAGCCTGACGCGGGGCTCGAACTCACGGACTGCGACATCGTGACCTGGCTGAAGTCGGATGCTCAACCGACTGCGCCACCCAGGCGCCCCATGTGATGTTTAATTTTAAAACATTTGATGCTTTCCTGAACATCTTATGGTGAATTATTTTTAATTTAACTCAGTGGTGGTTTGAGAACACAAGTAGAATTATTTCAATACATTTAAACATATGAAGATTTGTTTTATGCTACAGCATATGATTACAGTGAATATATCACATGCATCTAACATGCTTTCTATTCACTTACTTTCAGCTGATCTGTATCTTCATACTGAAAGCGTACCTCTTGTAAATAGCATATAGTTGTGTCTTGCTTTTTTAATCCATTCTGATCATCTCTGCCTTTCAGTTGAAATGTTTAGTATATCACCATTTTTTTTTTTTTTTTTTAAGTAAACTTCACCACAGTGTGGAGCCCAACACAGGGCTTGAACTCATAGTCCTGACATTAAGACCTAGGCTGAGATCAGGAGTGCGACGCTTAGCCAACTGAGACACCCAGGCCTCCTTGGCACATTCTTTAAAAATCAAATGACAATGTAGTAGATGGCTCCGTTTCTGGACACTGTTTTCCATTGCTAGGTTTGCCAATCACTTTGCCAATTGGTGCTGATTATTTCGACTTCACAGTCAAACCTAAA